GAATATGTCTTTGAAGACACATTTCCTACATTCTCACATGGATTTTTTCCCGGAAAATCTTGGTGACGAGAGTGATGAGCACGGCGAACGTTTTCACCAACAAATGAAGATGATGGAACGTCGTTACCAAGGGTTTTGGGATGAAGCAATGATGGGTGACTATTGTTGGTTTCTGATTCGAGAAACAAGTTCAAAACATCGAAGACAAAGTCATTCGATTCTCAATCATTTTTAATAAAACCTAAATAAATTTCTTTTGTATCAACTCGGTTTTAAATCCTGATATGCCTTAATCAAATTGATATGTAGAGAAAAGAATCTCCCATGAAAACTTTACATGCGATTTGGATGCTTACAACGACACCTAGAAAAGGAACTCTAAAGCTGTTGTATTTCAGCAACATTGTTTTACAAAAATGCTCATAACTTCGACAATTTCCAACCGATTTCATCCATTAAAGGCTCATTTTCTCCGGTTTTGAATGGACTTTAAGAATAAATTATGGAATGATTTTTTGAATCTTTTTATTTTATTAAAAATGTTGATTAAAACAAGATTTTTATGAAAAATTCGCAGGAAAAATAAAAAAAATGCTGTAAATTTTTAAATGACTGCAAAATTAAATTTTTAATTAAGACATAATATTCTAGTGAAAGATAGAAAATTTATTTAGCTTCATTTTCATAAAAAAAGATTTAAAATTGGTGCACTAGTTCCAAAGATATTGACATTTTAGTAATCGTACTTTTGTCCAAAATTCAACAAGTCAAATTTTTTGTATATCTCAAAAATGGCTCTACTTTATTTTTTTCTGACCACGGCATTGAATTCAGCGTAGGATTTTGCATTGGAAATGATCATCACCTTACCGAGTTCAAAAATGCTGTAAACTAGTGTTATAAGTGGGGGGCTCTGCAAAAAATACTCAAAGACTTCGATTAGCCCCTGACGATAATAGGTTTTAACGTGCTTAAGCCATTATTATCTCTATTTATTTTTAATGAAAATTTTGAGATTTATGAGCTTACCCAGACTTAATAACATTGTAAGAACTTTTAGACAAGATTTTTAGATTTTCAAAACTTTAGAGTGCATTTTATTGTTTATTTGGTGTAAAATATGGGCTACCGTTTCCATTTATTTATTATTATTATAGTCCATCTGACTTGATAGTCTCAATGAAACACTTAAATCTAAACGTAGTCATTCATTAAAAATTAAAAATTTGCCGGCAGCAAACGATGACGAAACCTGGAGGCATTGATGTCAAAGTCAAATAGGTCAGAGGCTTCGTTGAATTGATGCAAGGTTCTCGGACGGAGTGTTCGGGCAGGAGCATACAGATTAATTTTGGCCAGTAACTCAGGAACATCATATTCTGCGAGTAAAACTTTAGCAACGAAGACGAACTACGATATGTTTCGTCGCTTAGCAAGAGTATCCAAACCCAGTAAACGACAGCGGTCAGCATACGGTGGTAAATTCAGCGGGTTACTCCATGGAAGATAGCGCAGTGCGTATCTGACGAATTTGCGTTGAACAGCTTCGAATCGTCCACTTCATACTGCTTGGTAGGGATTCCAGACAACACACGCGAATTCCAGTAGTGAGCGTACCAATGAACAATAAAGGGCTTTAAAACACAGAGGATCACGAAATTCCTTAGATATCTTGAACATGAATCCAAGCTGACGATTAGCTTTGTCGATCGTGGTTGAGAAGTGGCGAGTGTATGTGAGCTTTTCATCCAACATGACACCGAGGTCTTTAACGTGATCGACACGTTGAACTGCAGTCCCAGCAACGTTATAATCAAACAAAACGGCAGTCCTAGTTCGACGGAAACCAATTACGCAGCACTTTGAGACGCATAGGACCATAAAATTACGTTCACACCAATCATTAAAGATTTTAAGAAGGTTTCGTAGTTCTAAACAGTCGGCATAGCCTCGAACGACTAGATAAATATTCAAGTCATCGGTAAAAACAATTCCCCTCCACGTAGTAGAATAAACGTTACATCGTTCACAAATAAAGGGAAGAGCAGTGGTCCCAAAGTGCTGCCCTGTGGAACTCCTGATCTGTTCGAGAAACAGTACGATGAGTAGTTTCCGATGCACACAGTAACTTCACGTTGCACGAGGTACGATCTAAGCCAGCTGCAGAAGGAAACAGAACATCCAATTTTTTCAAGCTTAGCTTGCAGAACGTCGTGCACAACTCTATCAAACGCAGCTTTAAGATCAGTGTAGATGGCATCCACTTGAATTTCCATTTTCCGTAAAGCTGACGAGATTAGTTTCCACGGAGCGGCCAGGAAAGAAACCATGTTGACATGTACTTATGTAATGCTTGCAGGAAGCAAACAATCTCTAATTTATCAGCGACTCAAACAACTTAGATTCAACCCCAAGCGAGGTAATCCTGCGGTAGTTTTCCACATTGCGTTTGTCTCCTTTCTTGAAAACAGGGAACATAGTAGAGCGTTTCCATAGTGCAAGAAATATCTGTTGACGAAGTGACAGGTTGAAGAGCAAGGACAACGGAGCAGCTAAGATATCGGAGCATTTTTTTAGGACAGCAGATGGAATAACACTCGGACCTGGTGAAAATGATGATTTGGTTTTACTCATCACAGAGAGAACCATTTGTACATCTACGGCAAAAACATCCATGTTTACAACGTCGGTTGGCACATCACGGACGGCTCGCTCAATTTCTGCTTGCGATGGGGAGTCATTCAAGAAAACGCTTAAGAAGTGCCTAGCAAATAGGCTGCATTTGTCCTCAGTTGTCAATGCTACGTCATTGCCGAGAAACATTTTTGACGGCAGTCCAGTTTCCTTCCTCTTCGTATTCACAAACGACCAGAATCCCTTGGGGTGGCATTGCAGATTATGTTGAGTACGAATTACATACCTCTTGTAAAGAAGCTTGTTGTAGTGGCGATAATCATTGCTGGCAATTGAAGAATTCCGCTTGGTAAGGGTACATCGTCGATGAGTGAGAGCACGGGAGAGCTCTAGATCGCACTCGTTTCAGGTTGCGGAGAGTAGCGTTAGACCAAGGCGGTTTACTTGGAGGTTGGCACTTCGGTACTGAAGCACAAACACAGTCGCGCAAAAGGCTATTATAGCGAGCGGCTGCTGTATCGATATCAAGGTCATTCAACACGTTCCAGTTGATCCGGGACAAGGAACGCCTCAGCAAACGGAAATCGGTCTTCCGGAAATTGTGCCGAGTGGCAGTCATGGTTTCATCAAAACGAATTTGAGATCCGTTCGCGATAGATATATCCAAAGCAGGGTGGAAATTGTCAAGAGGAACGATGACGTCAGGCGCTTCAGCGACGACACTGTCCAGAAGCGCACTTTCGCTAATAAAAAAATCAAGTCAAGAAAACGAGACTGGAAATTGGGAACAAGGTTTATCTGGCTCAGTCCATGAAAAGCCGTGCCGTCAACTAACAAGCTGCTGGCAGGAGTAGTTGAAGATGCAGTCGGATCTGGAAACGCATAACCCTGGCCTGAGGGTGACCAGCTAAGCCCAGGCTGATTAAAATCACCAAGCAGAAGAAGCACATCCGTTATATCAGTCATGGACGATGCAAATTATGTAGCATCCAGATGAAGCTGCATTGTGCTACAGTCATGTCGACGATCAGGGGGAATATACACCGCTCCAATGAGGATGTTCCGCGAAGTGAGGTTGACCTTAACCAAAACCGCTTCAATTGTAGTAAATAATTAGTCGGTGATTACGCAGGAGGCGAATGCGTTGGAAGCAGCGATGAGGACACCACCACCGCGAGTACGAATGCTGTTGGATGAATTATGGTAGACAGTAAAAGAGTCACCAAACAGTTGCACTGAATTGATCCTCCTATCGAGCCAAGTTTCCGTGAATACATAAACGTCATATTCCCCGTCAAGCGCAGCCAGATAAACATCGTCCAATTTAGTCATGAGCCCCCTGGTGTTTTGATAGTAGACCCGTAAACCGCTAGAGGGTTCGGTGCGAGCCGTGTCAATGGTAACTTATCCAGGATCCGAACGAGAGAACGGTGAACTATCAGGCAGCGAAAGATCACCTGGCGTAGAAAGGCTCGAAATGGTGGCCATAAGCGAAAATGAACTGAAACCAAGTGGCGGATCAACTGTTGAATTCACATGGACGAGTTCATACTTGCCGTAAACGAGTGGTTGGAAGACCCCTTCACCAGGCCCACACACAGGGCCGGGACGGCTGCAGGTCGCTGGTGGGAATGGCTCGACTGTGGCGGGGGGCTCGGGGGCTTCCATGATGCCAACGGCAGTGCATCCCAGAAGTTGATTCATCATAATGGTGTAAGTCGTCAATCTTCGGATCAGAGGAGCTAGATCAGGGGATCTGGATGCTTCTTCCGATGAATTTTCTGTGGAGCGTCTCGGCTTCTAGTATGGTGGAGCTGGTATACTGTTAATGTCATCTTCAGACCACAATTGTCGTGGAGCAGACATATACAATGGCACTCTGTTGTTGCTTGCTGATTATACTTGCCTACAGTTGGAGTTTGGAAGACCCCCTCTCCTAACTCAAACGCAGGGCTGGGACGACTGTTGAACGCTGGCAGCATAGGCTCGACTGCGATGATAGGATCAGGGGTTTCCACAAGGCTAGTTGCAAGTGTGCGTCCGAGTGTCGAGTTGAATAAAGCAGGTTGTGCTTTTATCGGAAATGATCGGCTGTAGGCATAATACATTTCAGGAACATTTCAAACCACCGTTATTTTAGTAACCACATGGTGAATAATCCTCGAACGCAGTACCAACTAACACCTCAGCAACAGCACGTTGAAAATCCCCCCCCCCCCCACGATAAAAAAAGTAAACCAACGTAAATGAATACCATCGTTCGTGTTTTCCCTCTCCATAATTAAATGTGCTTTTCCGAGTATGCACAAAACAAAGAATCACAAACAAACCCACCCACGGGCACAGTGAACGGGCAACACACTTACCTATCTATACTAATTGCACATAAGCTAAGGATTGACGCCGTACACAGTAGAACATCTAATGAGATCCATATATCACACAGTATCCATCCGAGCGGCCACGATCCTGGAGGGGGGAGAAAAAAAAAGAACAAAACGTTAAAAATCAACAATGTTCCATCATGGATGGGTAAAGCTGCTGGCGGACGACGGATTTTGTAATAAAGAAATAAATGTGCTGTTTTCTGCTGGTTTGTTTCAGCCCCGCGGACCGAGGTTTATTGCACACTTGGCCATTTTTTATGGCCAATTTAAAGCTTCCCACCGTGGCGGATTTAATGGATGTTTGCAGTACGAATCAATCACGGCCCATTTGAGTTGGGTTGATGCACACAGATCAGGTCGTTTGCTACGATAAGCATCAATATCCATCTTCACCTTTCGAGAGGAACAGACACGTCACGGTGATGCGCATATGTCTTTACAATCTATTTCATTTATATAAAAAAAAATCACATCAAGTGAAACGATGATCCAACCAGCTGCGACATTCCGCTGGACCATTCAAGCGCTGCCACATTTAGCCCATCATGCAAGGGTAGAACGGTAGAACGACAACAAACAGCGACCAGGTGGAAAGATGACACAGCTTCCCACTGAGTGGTGAGTGGCTTAGTGCCGGTAAGGGAAGACAGCCCGAGGTAAAACGCTCGATGCAGTTTTTTTAAGCTTTCCCGTTTTAAAATCATGAATTTGATAAGCAGCATTGCTCAGTACTTAAAATAGCATTTCTGCACAAAAAATCCTAGAATTAGTAATGGGAAAGCAACGAAAACCACATCGGACGTTTTGCCCCGGGGTGCATTTTGACCTGTTCTACCCTGCCTATAGTAAGTTTTGCGTCAGCGTTGCGTTGAGTGTGTAGGAAAACGTCTTCGCTCAAACTAATAGAAATTGGATAGGGAGAGGCAAACTAATATTTTGCAACGAATTTGCCAAGCTCAGCGCTCGTAAAAGATTTTGACTCAAGAAAATTGAAAACTATCATCATCACCGTTCCTGGCAGCATCTTCTGCCGAAGAGATCGAATGCTTTTAAGAAAATTGCCACCGCCAGCTGGGGGGCAGGGGATGCAAAAATATTACGACGTGATTACGGCCAAGCTGTCGATGGTGCAAATTATGCTTTCGGTAGGGAGGAGAAAACGTGGCACGGTTTGAGCAAGGCAGTGATCATCCTGATACATTGGAAGCAGAATCGGTGCTATTTATCTGGAAATTTCAAACAGTGCCCAATGTGGCACATCTTTCTGTTTGACCTTCCAGAGGCAACTTAGTTCAACGCTGTGCCAGAGTGCTAATGTGAAAAGTTTTCTTTTTCTCACACTTGCGTTGAATCAAATGTATAAAGAAAGATCAAGCGATAAATACACGGCACCAGAGACAGCTGAGAGTAATTTTCGTCTGGAAAATTAATTGCTCAATGTGTAATAGCATGGAAAAGAAACAACAACAACCTGACGGCGGTGGCAGTCGAAGTTGTGGCTGTTGGGCGCCTTTCCACCATACTACACTGAAAACGATTCTTGCACAGAGAGTTGAGTCACGTCTGCTCATTCGAATGGATATATTTCTTAAAGCGTAGCGAAATTTCTCCATACGAATAAGTAAAAGTGGCTCACTCCCTGAGTTAGTTTCGTTTTCAGTGTAGATGTGCTGTTGGTTGACCTGCAAAATTGCATTTGTCGTTTCTCTTTAAAACGTATATATTGCCTCTTCAAGATTGCCGCGTTTTGCGAGGAATTCAATCTAGAAAATTCCATACTAAATGAAGACATTATTTGAAGAAGTTCATTGCAGAAGCAGAGACAAAGGGACATCTCACTCCGCATGATGCTTATCGAACTACTACTACAGTTGGTGGTAAGTCAAGAAGAACGCCTGTTCTACTTTACTGAAGGTGAGACACAATTAAGATACAGGTCACCACTTCCTTCGCCCATCCGTTGGGGATAGCTTTGAAGCGGATTGAAATTTAATCATGGCACAGCATTTATCATAAAGTGAGCATTTCAACGCTAATCAAGATGATACGATCTGGAAGCCCTTGCTCTGATGCCACTTCGCATTTTCGATGTATAATTATTTGTAATTTGTAATTTATTGATAGCATAACGAAAACCTGTCAGTTACAGAACCATAAATCAGGTCAAGGAAGCAACCATTTTAAATCAGTTTAGTGGGGAGTTAAGAATGAAATTAAAGTCTAAGTCTAAACATTTGACATTTCTTAAATCGACAGCTACTATTGGTATTAGCCTAGAGAATTAATCAGCTCTGTGGAGCGCCGCTTTAAGCGACGTGAGAGTCCGTTGCTGCCTTGTAGCTAGTGGTAGTGCGTTCCAGGTGGACGCTCCGAATATTAGAACACTTTTTCGGGAACTTGTGGTGTGATGCGGTAGGACAAAGGATCTAGCTCGCTCGTTCCGACCTTTTGGTGTGTACTGCGTGATGTACTCTGGGAGGTTTCCATGGTAGACCCCGGGCATGAAGCAGCATATACGACGGTGGTAGTTTTCCTGCAGATCGCATCCGAGTATGGTGTGTCGCACTTCTCTGGTCGTGTCACGCCCTCGAATTCCATACACGAACCTCACCGACGACTTGAAGCATCGATGCAACTGAGCCTTGAGCGCGGTGGACAGTCCTGGGTAGTACACGACGTCGCAGTAAATGCGAAGAACGATATCACCACAGCTTGGACGAGCTTCATACGAATCTGTCTGGAAAGCACTCCACGGAAGCGCCTGAACGTACGAAGAGTATTGTAGATCTTTTTGGTGACTTCGTTTATCTGGTCGGTCCATTTTAGGTTAGAGTCCATAATGAGACCAAGGTTGGCAACTTTGTTCGACAAAGTAATGGTTTCATCACAGAAGCGGATGTCATTTTGAGGGATTATGGCCCCATCTCTACAAAAAACTATAGCTTGCGTCTTCTTTGGGTTGGGAAACAGACGATTCTCAGTGGCTCAACTTTCGATAGCGAGGAGCCTGTTAATTTCGCTTGCGGGGCCTGATATGTAGATTTGGAGGTCGTCCGCATATAGGTGATACTCGCATTTTAGCACACCAGGCAGGCTGTTGATGTATAGGCTAAACAGCAGGGCGGTGAGATTCCGGGGATTCGAGGGAGTACCACCCAGGTCTACAACCTGGCTTCGCTGCGCCAGGAAAGATGAAATCAATTTACACGCGGAGTTTGAAAACCCGAATTCCCTCCTCAGCTTCGTTTCAAGTAGACCATGTCTGACACAGTTGAATGCCAACGAAAAGTCGACAAGAACCATTACTGTGCACCTGTTATCGTCAAAGTTGTTGAGGATATCGTGAGAAACCTTGGCTAGAGCAGTCGTGGTACTGTGGTTTTTCCTGTATCCTGACTGGTGTTTGGCAAGAAGAGCGGGTGTGGATACATCGAGATGATCCGTTATTTACGACAGTAGGATCTTCTCCAGTACCTTAGACACCGCAGGTAGGACACTAATGGGCCTGAAGTCCTTCGGTGAAGTAGGCTTCGATGATTTCGGTATCGGGGTAACGATGGCCTTTTTTTCCAGACGGAGGGGAAAGTTTGAGCATCGATAATCGCATTGAACAGGTGAGTCAGGAGGGGGAGGATAAACGGGCAGAGCAGCTTGATGAATGAGATGGGGATTTTATCCGTCCCTTTCGCGTTGGTCCCAATCCCGTAAATTTTCCTAGTGACTTCGTTGACGTTAGTGCGCCTGAACTGGAATTGGCCGTCGGCCACATTTGCGGGTGGTTGATCGGATTCTGCGTTCGCTTGCGAAGGTACAGCCTTATGCTGTAACATGTGATGGCCTTCAGCAAAGAACTGATTTAGTCGGTCAGCATCAAATTCCTCCATGGCCGGATTCTTCTTTACATTGTTATGTATGCCCTCTCTCCTCAGGTTGCACCACAGCTGCTTAGCAGGAAGATCCATGCCAAACTGCGAATCATACCTTTTCTTAGCAGCACCAATTAGGGTGCCGGCCCTACTTTTTTTTGGAGATGTAGTCTCGCCATTGAGCATCTCCTCTGACACGATTCGGATTTCGCACATAGAGAGAATAGGCTAGGTCCCGTAAGGTGATTGCAGCTTCGATTTCGTTCGTTATCCATGGCGTGCGTTTGTCACGAACACTAATTATCCGCTCCGGATCATGCTGGTTCAAAAGCGAATAAAGTTCGCTAGTGAGAAGTTGTGCTTTGGTGTCGATGTTTTCTTCTTGATAGATATGCTGTAGGTCCTTTGTCTGGAAATCAGCTTGCAGCCGTAGGGGATCTATCCTACCGAGATTCCGTACTTTCATACGACGAGGTGGAGCTTCAGGTATGAGCACGTCAGCGATCAGATACACAGCTTCGTGATCGGAAATGGAGTTCGCGTTTACAGCTTTGGATTTTTTGATGAACAGTGGGTTATCGGTTACCATTAGATCAATGGTAGTAGAGCTGTGTTCAGTGATCCGGGTGGCCGACGTGGGTAGACCGTAAGATTGAAGGTGGTGTGAATCCGTCTCAAAGCAAGTAGGTTCGCAGTGGGTTGACTCGCGGCGACGTTGATATTGTAGTCACCAACCAGGAATATCCTGTCAAAACGGTGTTCCAGGAGATCGAGTAGAAGCTTTTAATATTGTTGGGCAAAAAGTGCGTTGTAACCAGAGGATTTGTATACCACGACGATGCACGTGTTGGTATCGCCAAACCTAGCTTGGAAGGCCAGAAATTCAAGCCGTTGGTTAATAGGAATGGTTGGGTCAAAAGTTGATTTCAAAATCGGCACCGCCTTGATACGAAGTTGTTTTGGGTAGGTAGTCATCTGGTGGAATTAAAGTCGTCGAAATGGTATTGTAGTTAGGGTGTTAATCCAAGCGAAGAAACTGAGGACTGTTCGTCGAAGAACAGCGATGAATTTTCACCTTCTGTTGTCGAGCCAGTGAGTTCCATGAGTTGTATTATTATAATAGAATCTCATAATGTAAGGGTGTTCACTTTTTACTCGGAATTTATACTATACATAATTAACTGAAGATGATACAATGTTATTTTAAATACTCCTT